TCGCCGCATGTCTCTTGTATCACCGCAGAGGCGCGGATGCGGCTCTCTCGTTTAATTCAAATGCAGCTTGCGTCTCAGTTTTTGATTGTATTGAAAATAAAATCAGAGGAATTTAGTATTAATGCTACTATAATTTTGCTGTAGTGGTCATATTGTCCTGACGATTGTTTTGTACACTGTTCATAATGGATTTATAAACAGGTAAGATTTCAAAACATTAATCTCAATTCAATATTTAATATGCCCGTGTTTATATATTATTTTAGTTAAACAAAAACAAAATCCGTGTAATAAGTTAACTATGAATATACAATACATTATCCCTTAAATGTCAACCTGATAGTTTGAACGTTCGTTCGTCTTGGCTCAAAGCCACTTGCTGAGAACTTTTCTTTGTGGAAGCTTTGCGTTAAACAAGTGAGATAACGAAATATTTCATCTCTAATCAATATTTTTTGTCCAATTATTTGCCCAGTTAGTTTTGGTATTGAGGTAAAAGTTACCTTGCATTCGCTATAACAGTGGGTGGTGGTCACGAAGATGACTGGGCTAATTTGATGCGTTTCCCCCTTTTGCAGCGACTTTCTTCTTGCAAGATCTGCAGACAGTGTGACCGTCCTCGATTAAATTGCCTTCAGGACACTTGTAAAAGCCAAAATACGACCAGAGCACCGATTTGGTCCTCTTAGATGGCTGAAAAATCTGTCTTCCGCCATTTCGTCTCGTGCAAAAATCAACAACAACAACATTGCATGCTGCTTCTGTGTCAGACTGATGAAGGCTGGACAGGATTTACCGCGAGTTTTCAAAAGCGCGATAATCAAACACGGTTTTGATGATAATTAAAATTTAAACGGTAATACCGTCAGGGCATTTTATCGTGATTTATTGTGAAACCGGTAATCGTTACATCCCTACCTCACATCATATACACACAGAAATGTAAAGGTATTCACGGCAACCCGTCAAAATAAAAGTTTGGTTTAACTTGAAGGCATTGTGGCAGAAATATATTACTGTTGTTGAGTAGAATGTACGTAATAGGCTACTACTACAACTAAAATGATTAAAACCTTATTTTTAAGGAATAAACATACAATATTTCTTCAATGTTTTAATTGTAATATTAAATGACCTTTATTTTCCAAAAAATACAATTTGTTTAATTTTCATTATTTAAAGGATAGATTAAATGAATGTTTTATGCCTTAAAAATGTAAATACACAACACAGAATTTCTGAGCAAAAAATCATAAGGTAAGAATAAATGAAACTTGTTTTTATGCTTTCAAATAATTAGACATGCTAAATCAGAATCTGGTAACAGTAAAACATAAGGTTGGGAAAAATAAAACATTTCATAGGGCCCTAAACATTTAATTTTTGTTGAATTTTTAATAAATTGATGTTAAATTGTTTTACGATTTTAGTTTCATATGATTTTAATGAATTAAACATGCTTTTTGATTAATACAATTTAATTTAACCATTAAAAAGGAGTCCAGAAAAAAAAAGTACCCCACCCCACATATACACTCAAAATTCTCATTAAAAAATTTTTTTTTTTAAATATCTGAAAAATCCATTATACCTTATAATCAGTGAACATGGCAATTGTTTTTTTCTTTTTAATTTCTAATTATTATATATATTTTTTACATATAAGCATCAAGCATCCATAAGATATAGAAAGATGATATATTTGCAGTTGATTTCCAGCTAAAGTTTTGTGGCTGTCCGTTGTGATTAGTTTGTTCTCGTTGTCTCTTCAGTGACGTTTTATACGACAGCAT